ATGTTGGGTGTAGAGATTACTTAAAAATAAAATCTATTTAAAAACTTAAGCTAAGGGGGCACCTGGGTGGCTCGGTTAAGTGTCTGACTTTGGCTCAGGTCATGATCTCGCTGTTCGCGGGTTCAAGCCCCATGTCTAGCTCTGTGCTGGCAGCTCAGAGCCTGAAGCCTGCTTTGGATTCTGTGTCTCCCTCTCTCTTTGCCCCACCCCTGCTCACACTCTGTCTCTGTCTCTCTCAAGAATAAACATTAAAAATTTTTTTAAATAAAAAAAATTAAACTAAGGGCATCTGGGTGGCTCAGTAGGTTAAGCATCCGACTTGGGCTCAGGTCATGAACTCATGGTTCATGAGTTCGAGCCCCATGAGAACTGTGCTGACAGCTCGGAGCCTGGAGTCCACTTCGGATTCTGTGTCTCCCTCTCTCTCTCTGCCCCTCCCCCACTTGCGTGTACGCGCTTCTCTCTCTCTCTCTCTCTCAAAAATAAACAAACATTTAAAAAATCTTTTTTAAAACTAGGCTAAAAATAATCCCATAGACAAAACTAGGAATAATTTTAACTTTTTAAAAATAAGTTGACTCTTTTTTTTAAGTTTATTATTTATTTTGAGAGAAAGGCGGGGGTGGGGGGAAGAGCAGAGACAGAGTGGGAGAGAGACAATCCCAAGCAGGCTCTGCACTGTCAGCGCAGAGCCGGATGCATGGCTCAAACTCTTGAACCACAAGATCATGACCTGAGCCAAAGTCAGACGCTTAAGCGACTGAGCCACCCAGGCACCCCGGAATAATTTCAAGTTTTTAAAAATTAAAATTGAAATACCCAAAGGTGGACACAGCATTCACAAAATCAGCAAGACAGATTAAGAGTTGCTCCACACAGTCTAAAGTCATCAAATTGTACACATTAAATATGTGCAGCTTTTGGTATAACAGTTATACCTCAATAAATCTGTAAAAAAAAATTGTTTTGCTAAGAATTATCATAAGTGCCTGCGGGTAAAAAAGACTGAAAGGAAATACACCAAAATATCAACCGAAGCAGGCTTCTTTGAAGGAGGAATGTGTAGGGATGGTTTAATTTTTGTTCCTTCTACTTTTCAATATTTTCCAGATTTTCTCCAGTAAGCACATTCTAGTTTTGTAATTGGGAAAATCAACTTAAAAAAAAAAAAAAAA